TTCAATATGTATATGGTTCGGGAGGAAATGCTTTTCTGAGTATAGACAAGAAAAACTTCTGGGATCTCAAAATGTCTCAGTGGTATTTGTCAACCCAGTATGGCTCTGCCTCACCCAACACAAAAGTCTAATGATAAAAACAGACTCAAAGGGAGAAAAATGAATTTCCGTTCTATTTACAAGCAATTCAAATGCCTTTTACAGACTTAGATTTATGGCTCTTCCCTTGTTCTTATATATTTCAGGGCCAACTTTCATGTTCCATTTTCAACATCCCAGATAGAATATCAAGATACACTTGGCACTGGATACCAGAGGCTATAAGGAAAGAATTTCTACAAAAGAAGCAAGTTGAAAATCTGTCTCCTTCTCATTGTGGTGTGGAGAGGAGGAAGAGCTGGGGGAAGTATTCCCAAGGGAAGAGAAGTCCTGTTCATCTGCACGCCGGACCTCCCAGGACGGCACTGTGTTCACACTCTGCCCCAGTACTCTTGCTTCTGGCCCAGCTTGGATTTAGAAAGTTGGTTTCTTTAGTAACAGAGAGAAGTCCCCACAAACCAGCTTCTATCATTTATCTGCTGAGGTTTTTCCCTTTCTGATGAGTTTGTGGGTGAACACCGTGTTCAAAAAAGGCTATCCAGGAAACATAGCACAAATACAAATGGTGGCTGGATTCATCCATCAACCCTGCAAAAGGTACTTTCAATTAGTAACAGCATTCCCAACCCCTTATCTCAGTCATGGGGAACTGAGGAGGAAGGCTTAAACCACCCTGTCTTAAGACCAAACTAAAAATGGCTCTAGAAAGAGCTTTGCCAGTTCTATGCCCACACCTGCCCCTGCCCTGTGTTTCTTGTGTGTGTGAGGATGATGAAGCACAACATAAGTTGTCCAAAGGGCAAAACATACAGTGTAACTGATTAAAGCAGAAAAGTCTCATAATCTTATATTAAGGCCAACGAAATCAAAGCATACTCAGGTTGCAGCACGTGCTCCTAAAAAAGTTCTCAATTGGATTTCATAAGAAATAGTGACCTCGAGCTCCTAATCCTCTCACATTGGCTACTGCACATGACTGGGGCCCACACCTGCTCTGTTGGAGTTCCTCTGAAGGATTCAATTCATGTGTACAAAAGACAATAAGTAGGAGTAACTTCATTTAAACAAATTATACCTAAGGCTGCTACAAACAACTAAGAGTACTCTTACTGAAAGACTAAATGTTTCTAAAAGAACAGACAGGAAGATACTCTGTTATCAATGGCAGTCTTCAAAATCACAACAGGTATGATTAGGTAAAGTTTTACTTAAATAGACTTGGTTATATTAAAATTACCCACATAGCATGTTTACACATCAAGGATACATTTTACATTTATCTCTTCACTAACTACACTATTTGAGATTTGTGATCTTACTTACTGTAAATACTATACACCGTCCAAACAGGACCCAAAAACTAACCAATTAAAAGTGGTTCTTTGTATTTGAATTTAGCCAATGACTCTGGACTTTTAACTGTGAAAACAGTGCTTCCTGCTGAGTAAAATAACAATCCAGACTTGTATTGACAACATTCTACATATAAGTTTCAGGTCTAAAAATAGAATTCAATGTGCTGTTAAAAGGCTGTTTGTACACTAGTCAAAATCACTGTTCTACTGTCTGTAGTAAATCTCCTTTCGGCTTGAAAAATCTGTGAACTAATCAAAACTTTCAGAGGTAAAATGCTTCAGGGATGTTTTGATGAAATAATCTAGTGGCAATACATTTAAAATATTTGTTTCTAAAACATCTGAGCCTAAAGCAAATCCCGGACAACCAACCGGGAACCCAAGAGACCCCAGTAACACTTAACAAAGTTTTGGTCCAGCTCATGGTCTAAAGGTTGGAGGGGAACAAGAGACTAGTCAACGTCAAGCCCTTCCTCTCCCTCCGTGTTTTAAGTTCAATCTTTCTTCATCTTTGATCCTACAGAAAATTAGAGTCTTCTAAACTGAGCCTGCCCCATAACAAAAACAGCTTTTGTTTTGCCTACTACCCATCAGCAAATGTGTTGATTCTAAAGTGAACCAGGCTTTTTTCCTCCAAAGATCTGTGTTGCCTTTACAGACAGAATCCTACTGACTGACCTAACAGGAACACAGAGACATTCATTCTGTAAGCCCTGAGATGTTCAATTCAAGAGCAAGGACCCTGGCCATTAAAGAATTTGTGACTTAGTCTTGAAAAACCAGAGCCCTGTCCTTAGCTGTCCTCAGGTGCTACAACACAATTCATGACTTTCACTAAAACAAGAGGAAAAAGCAGGGAGGGAGGAAGGGAGGGAGGGAGGGAGGGAGGGAGGGAAGGAAGGAAGGAAGGAAGGAAGGAAGGAAGGAAGGAAGGAAGGAAGGAAAAAAAACCCAAAAATCTACTGAAGTCTAAAGGCAGGAAAGTAGGAAAAAGGGGAATTTCTCTCCTGGGAACTTTAGTAACATAATCAAAACCAATGAAAAATAAAATGCAAGATATTCAGGCCATTCTTCAGCCCAGCAGTGCTAATAATCCCTCAAAAAATCCTTATATCCTTTTGTTAATCATCTTACAATCTTGGACCAAAAAATAAAATAAAATAAACTGTCCTTTTCTTTAAATTACCATAAAGACCTATCTAGTTAAATTCATCCTTAACGGAAACAACATAATCTTTCTTTCATTAAAATTTCCCTTGTTGATATATGCAAACCAGGTCAGTTTCTATTGGATTTGCATACTTGTGTTTTATCCCTTAATTCAACTCCTTATTGAAGGTTTAAAAAGAGCCAAGAGCTGGACCTCAGATACACATAAAACAAACACTGCTTATATGTCTAAGCAAACACTGACACCATTTACAGATTCTCCACCCCCTCCCTCTTCCTTGGGGCTGAGAGCCTTGTCAATAATCATTACTTATTAAACAGGCTGCCATTCCCTTCTACAAAATGTAGAAAAGGAGCATGGAGGGGTAGAAATAATTACCTTGGCCTTTTCTTTAAAGACCTCCGAAATGGGATGCAAGGAAATCAATTGAGGAAGAACATGAAATATCCCCCCCGCCCAGGTGCAAGACTCCCCCCCCCCCCCTCCACCGGCACACCACATACACACACACATCCACAGTTGGGAAGTACACCCACACTCCATTATCCGTACCAACTGCACCGAAAGATAAAAATCCGAGGTCTTCCGGATACACACGTATATATTTTCAAACCACTGAGCATGTTCGCACATACACTTGCACATCCTTTATGCTCCACAAAACTCAAGCTGGATTTCCTGAGAGAAGCCTGCAAACACCTCCTTGGGAAACATGCTCTCAAAAATGATTGCTTCAGCCAAAGGAGAGGGAAGGGAAGCAGCAGGTTACCGGTTTGACTGCCATTCTGGTTTGTGGCAGATCCCCTCCTTCCCCTCTTCTCCCGGACTCCCAATTTATCTTTAGCTTATTTTTTCCCCCAGAGTACGGATATTAAGGAATTTTTCTCCTGGACCTTATCCACAAACACACTAAATCCCTTCTGTAAAAGTTTCAAGTGTTAAATAACACCCAGGGTGAGAGCACAGGTCAGGAAAATGAACTTCCGGATGACTGAAAGCATCCCGGGTATTTCTACTGAAGAGAAAATGATGACCCTCTTCCTTTCCTCTCCAGATGTTATAGCTCAAAACAGAAATATGATGGAAAGAGAGTATAGCCAGGCAGTTTCTGAAGAACGGGCTTGCACAGAACTTGAACTGGCAGGCTAGGGGTTTGTCCTAAATAACCTTCACAGGTTGCAAACTGTTTCCCATATCCTAATCAACAGTCAGATTGAAAAGCTTTCTAAAATTTCCTTAGAGTAAGAGCAAGGTGGGGGGCGGGGTGGGAGGTCAATTAGTCACACAAAACATTTGAAAAGATACAGAGAAGAGATACACCATCTATACGAATAAATAGGGATCTATCACTCTTGAGGTGAACTGGCCAGTATGGGCAGCAATCGCCCCGTGGTTGAAGAGGCCACATTCACAGAGTGACCGGTTTCAAAAGGGCTGGACGTTCTCCCCTGGAGTGCAGAGAACTATCCCATTCCTTATATTTTTCTGGCACAGAGGGAGGGGAGATGAGGTTCACACCCCACCTCTGGGAAACGAACAAAAGCAAATGCTTCACAGCGCTGAAAAAACTCCTCCTCCGTCAGGACCCTAGAGGCGGTGGTTCCGCAGGGCTCCCTTCCCATTTCCCCCTACTTAACTCACTCTGGGAGGCCAAAGAATCAATCTCTACACCTTGCAATGGCCATGGGCAGAGCGGGATCGGTTTAGCCCTCCGCCATGGATCGCCTCCTTTCCCTACCTCCCCCAATGGCTTCTAATTAACCCTTCCTGGTCCCTGCCCGGGTCAGGGCGGCTAGTAGTCCTACAGGTTCGTTCTATCGACATTTCCATCAAATATCACCCCCCCCCCCCCCATCCACACACACACACCCACCCACATGGACACAACTTCCCTTTGTGGTTTAGCGTCGGTCAATTTGCATGTGCTTTTCTTTCTCGCCTTCCTACGGGCAGGGAAAGGGCTCAGTGCTTTTGGGAAGGCCCACCCTCCCTCCCCAGCTCTCAATAGGAGCCGGATCCGGGAGCTCACCAGCAGGTCTGCAGTGAGCAGAGATCGCCCTCGCGTTAACCCTTTGAAGAGATCTGTTCTCATCTGGGACCCGCTGAAGTAGGCCGAGTGGAGCTTGACAACCTCCCTCCGCTTCCTAGAGCGCCCCCCCCCACACCCCCAACCCCCCCCCCAACACTGACCCTGAACAGACCTGCACCTTTCTCCTCCCTTGTGGCCAGTTTTAACTATCTCATTCACTGCTCCAAACCTGAAATAGGATGAAGGGTGGAGGATGCTAGAAGACAGGCGGCGGGGAGCAAAGACAGCAGGAGGGCAAAACGGAAACTCAGTAGTAAATCAGAGTTCAGACCAGGTGTACACTTACGAAATTTGGGGCTGGTGCTCGTTTCTGGCGCGGTGGTGGCAGAGGAGGAGGAAGACGAGGAGGAGGAGGAGGAGGGGGTGGCCGCATCCTGAAAGGGAGACAGGGTCCAGGACGGAGTGGAATCATGAAGGTAGGAGGAGGTAGCGTATGCCGCAGTGGGCCAGGAGGGCATTGCCTGGGTGCTGGCGGTTCCTGGCACCGGGGGTCGGGAGCCCGGCGTGCTGCTACTGAAGAAGGGGGCCGTAGTGGACAGGACCGTCGGGGGGGCCGCTGTGTTTCGTGCGGTGGTGGAGCGCGGGCTGGCCCGGATGGGCACCCGGTGTCCGGGAAAGCGAGTGGGCGCCCGCGTGATGGTCGTCAGGCGGGTGCTAATCCGGTTGGGCGTCCTGGAAGAGGCGGCGCCGCCGGCGGAGGGGGTGGCGGGGGACGCAGTGGAAGTGGTCGTGGTGGTGGTCTCCATGGCCTTGGGGAAGGAGCTGGGCTTGGAGAGGAAGAAGGGGTCCTGGCCCATCCCCTTGGAGTCCACCAGGTCGGTGGGCACGTATTCCTTGACGGAGCCCACCACGATCCATTTGAGGAGCATGAGGCTGAGCCCCAGGCCGATGAAGCCGATGAACAGAGGCACCACGCACAGCCACGTCTGCTGCCGGTTCCACACGATGCAGTCGCTACAGCGTAACTCCCGGGGGGGCTCGGCCGCCCCTTCGCCGCCGCCGTCCGGGCCCCCGCCCGCCGCTGCCGCCGCCGCAGCCGCCGC